GGTATATTCACTCGACAAGCTCGCGCATCTGCGCCGCCGCGCGCTCAATCCACTCAGCGTGCTTTGTTTATCAGCTATACAGGCGTTAAAACTGAATGTTTAATGTTATATTCATTGCATGCATATACTTCGTAGTAGACAACCTTAACTCCATTCTGCTGTCTGTTGTCGGTGTTTCTTTGTCTGAATATGGCGCTTATCACATGCTGTGTGGTATCGGCATTTGGTATCGGGGAATTTTAACGAGTACGAGTACAGGAGCTCAGTATCGGGCCCGATATCGGTATCGGTGCATCCCTAATATATATGCATGCATGTATGTGTGTGTATGCACTGTAGGGTACAATACAGTGTAATCATCTTTCAAAAAATGAGTTGCTGAAGTTGTGGTGTTCTACAGTGGGAATTCCAAATTGGCCCTTGTGAGGGCATTGAGATGGGAGACCATTTGTGGATCGCCCGCTTCCTCCTGCACCGGGTTTGTGAGGACTTTGGCATTGTGGCCTCTTTCGACCCCAAGCCCATTCCAGGGAACTGGAATGGAGCTGGCTGCCACACCAACTTCAGCACAAAGGAGATGCGCGAGGATGGGGGTTTGAAGTAAGTGTGTAAAAGAGAGCCTAGAATCTTCCACACTGCCTAGGATCCACACTGTAGCACTGACATAAAATTGTCATTAGTTATGCTAATCAATTTACTTTTATTTTAGATACATTGAGGAGTCAATTGAGAGGCTGGCCAAGAGACACCAGTACCATATTCGTGCCTATGATCCTAAAGGAGGGCTGGACAATGCCAGACGACTGACCGGCCATCACGAGACCTCCAACATCAATGAGTTCTCTGCTGGAGTGGCTAACCGTGGTGCTAGCATCCGAATCCCACGATCTGTGGGCCAGGAAATGAAGGGCTACTTTGAAGACCGTCGTCCCTCAGCCAACTGTGATCCGTACACAGTCACTGAAGCTCTTGTACGCACATGTCTGCTCAACGAAGATGGTGACGAGCCTGTGAAATACAAGTGAAATACTGGACTGAAGCGTCATTTTTAGTAATTAAATATCTTACTGACGCCTTGTATTTTGAGTTCATTATTCCATGAGGGATGACACTAGTCAGGGGTGTCAAACTCAGTTCCTGGAGTGCCGGAGCCTTACAGAGTTTTGTTCCAACACACATCCATGTAGTTTTCAAATAAGCCTGAAGGACTTGATTAGTTGGATCAAGTGTTTAATTAGGGTTAAATCTAAACTCTGCAGGGCTCTGGCCCTCCAGGAATTGAGTTTGACACCCCTGGTTTAAATGCATCTGTGTATATAAAATGCTATTACCCTATTTGAAATTCTCATTGTTTTTTGTTCCAGATAAATACTGTTCTGAAGTTGTCATTTCTTAGGATAGTTGTATATATATATAAAAAAAGATTTAAATAGCTCCTTTAAATAGCTTTAATATTAGTTAGCTAATTTTTGTACAGTGCGTAAATCGGAGAAAGGCACAGCTTGACTTCCTTCTGTAAATTATGAATAACTACAGTTACTCATAGTAACTGTTTTATTCTCACTCACACTTTGTTTGACACGATAGGACTTTTGTCTTTACAGTGACACCTCAATTTTTTATTTCCCTGACCCCGAGATACGAT